GAACGGTCAACCGTCGAGACAGCTGACGAACAGGTGACTGTCGGGTCACCTGAAGGGTCGCGTTTAAAATAGTGTCAAGTGGAGCAAGTGCCGTATCGACCGCACGCCCAAGCGCGGAAGATCCTCGCGACGCCGCCGGACCCGGCGTCGGATGCGTCGTCCTGGGCTTCCCGGACGCTTATCCAACCTGCTGGTCACCTCACTCCTGCGGACACCACAGCGAACTTCGCGCCGAAAGTGAATCGACAATGCCCAAGTGTCGGAGTTCGTCCTACATCGCCAGGCACTTACGCGATTCGTTCGTGGTGCACTGCAAGCAGCGGTTGACAAACAGAAGGAGAGCGCAGACAAGCGGGGCAGGAAGATCAAGGCCAAATTCACGACAGGAGAGCGTGTGCTCCTGTCGACAGACGGCATACAAAACTCGGCGATAACCAACCTCGGCGCGAGCAAGCTCGCATCGCGCTTTATTGGACCGTTCAAGATTACGAAAGTATTGGGAGATGCCTACAAACTAGACATTCCGGTGTCGTTGAGACTACACCCGACGTTCTACGTCAGGCGACTGAAGAAGTACTTCCCAGCTACGATCCCTGCGACGCCTCAGACGGCTGAGCCGGAGGCGCGTAGATCGGCCGTCCCTCGCGGAGTGCGCGCCGTCGTATCGAACCATCCGATCCAGGTACACGTTCCCGACCCTGCGCTCCAGTCTGCACGCGACCGTGAATCGCGCGGTCCAGTGTCCTCACCCGCTGCTCCAGTAATGCCCAATTCGACTGCCGCAGAGCAGTCGCGGTGTGCGACGCCTCCGACGACTGTTGCTAGGCGACGTCAATATCCCGCTGAGAGTCCCAGAACTGGTTCATCAGTGTGTCATCGTCCTGACCAACCAGGACGCGAACGTTATCAGCGCGATGGCCCACCTCCCATTGTTGACGCTGGTGGTGATATCCGCTGGATTGTTGACTATATCGTGGCACACGAGGATTCTCCTCGAGCATCGACTCGCGGTAGTGCCAACCGGACGATCCCGATTGGTCGACGCTATAGGATCCGCTAGCTTGGCTTCTCTCCGAAGGACGATACGTGGTAGCCGCGATCCAATCTCCTCCGGGATGTTCCGGACGTTGTTCGAGACTATGAGACGACACTTGCCGAGTCCAATGGTCGGGCCGAAACGAGTGTGAACGGGATTGAGATCGCCGACCACGAGCTGGAGAATGAGATCGTCGACGTAGGCGTCCACGGGAACGTGAACGTGATCGAGAACGTGTGTTGCCAACAGCGATCCCACGATGCAACGGCGGAGAGCGACTCCGTTGAGGACGTCGCCAACATGAGCCGGCGATGTTAACTGATCGAGCCAATTCGGAGAGAGAACGTCGGTACCGTTGGATCCAGCTATTCTCGTCTTCGCCGAGCGGCCGCCCGACGATGTGCGCGCGCCATTCTTCTTCAGTAGGCCGGGAACCAACACAAGAGTCGCAGCCTTCAGCAACGTGAACGTATGCACATTGTGGTATGTGAAGCCGCAGATCCTGTGGTGTAGTTCACTGAGTGAATGCTCAGCGATGGCAGCCTCACGGTGATTGAGCCAAGCGACAAAGTCTCCCCCAGCTTCCTTCATCCGGTTCCAGCGCCGGACGAACGCACACCACGACTACTGAAGTGCGCCGAACTCGACACCCTCGATGCCCTTCTGTCGCAGTCCAGGGAATCGACGAAACAAGGCCTTCATCGCTTCCAGTGTGTCCGGGTTCACGACCCCGGACAGTTTGTACAAGTCCCACGTTCGTAGCTCGCTGTCCATCACGCCAACAGAAGTCGCCGTCGTCGCTGTCGCTGTGGTCGTCGCCGTCCCCGTTGTGGCTGTCGTTGTTGCTGTCGTCGCCGTCGTTGTTGTCCTTGCCGCGGTTCCCGTGTCCATTGTTGTTGCCTTCCGCCGCTGCCCCCTGTTCTCCTCGACGCGAGTTGGGTTGTGAAGCTTCTGCGAAGCGCAGAGGCAGCTGGGCGCGCTCCCTGCGTTGGCCATTTCCAAGATTGATGGTTGACATTGTACATACTCCATGGTTATGTTGCGTAAGCGCAACTTTAAGAGAGGGGTGATGTAATGGGTCACCATTTACATAAGTAGGTAGGTTTGATATACAAAAGTAGGTACAATAGCACGCGAGTAGCGCGTGCTGTGTTGTCGTATTCTGATTGGCTGAAAGGTCAGGTATTCAGCCAATCAGGAGTCGACTTGAATTTGAGTGGTTCTCATGGGGCCAGGGTTCCGCCCTGGACCAAAATTAAATCAGAGTTTTATCTTACCGAGAATGAATCTTGTCGTGCTAAGTACGCTTCCTCATCGCTACGTGTAAGCTAGTAACGGTAAATCCTGGCCCGTTACAAGAGACTTGTATTCAAATTCGTATACAAAACACACATCAATGCACGTGATATCCATGCAAATCCCAGCCGGTGCGCAAACTTCAACCCGAATGGCCCGATGAGGTCGCAGCATCTGCCCCCCCCCTTCAACTAGAGAGCTCGTTGCTCACCCCGCCTACGCAAATACCAAGCGGCCCTGCTTCGCTGGCATCCCGCTCGGGTTGTGCTACGGCTACGCTTCTCGCACCCGCTCACTACCGTCTTCTAATAATGTGTGCCATAACCACTCTAAGTGTATATGTATATTTCCGTCAATGTGCTGTTATTAGTTTGCCGTATATCGACCATGATGATGAAGATAGCCTATTTACGGTGTGATTATGAAGACAAGGAAATGACGGGGCTGATGATGCAGGCGCCATGATTACGGGAAACTAGGAGAGGACTAGTGTGAATATGCATGTAGTTAGAATTGACTGCTTCGTTGTTTTTGGTTTCCCTCATTATTATTTTTCCTCTACAAGACGAGTTATCCAAATCTGTGCGATAGTAACAAAGGTTAGGTTCTAATTTGAGAACACGGCACGATGAGAGTAACACGACACTAGGACCTCCTGATTACACGCATTACTGGGATGCATCAACTTTTTTCTACGACACTCTCTTCATGAACTCCACATGTATACTGGGAGAATAAAATATCTGTTTTCGTTGATGTTGACGCTTGCAGTTAAGCAAATTTGGTGTCGGTCAGAGGTGTCCGCTTTCCGCAGGCGAGTATGGCTTGATCAATCATTTAACCTAAAACACGATTCAGAAATCCAACTACTAAATAAACACTAAATTAAAACAATAAAACACTAGTCAAAATTCATAATGTATTGAATAAACCTCGTACATTTGTAAATCAGACGTATATTACTACTTTGATATTTGTAATTATTATGGATCGGCGAGCTCCCGTATATGCCATTCTCTGCTAGCTTGGAGGTGACAGTCTTCCCGCGGTAGTTTCGGCGGTGGGACGATTTGACCACACAGCCGACATCCGGCCTAAGGTGTACATATTTTACTTCATAGTAGGCAATATTGTCTAAAACCGTGCCTTGCCCCACAATGGCCCCGCGGGTCGAGAGGGAGTGTCAAGTGCGTATAGGGGTACCTCGTGCCGCAAATGAGAGCTCTGATTGGCACCGCTTTGGTCCTATCGAGTACGACAAGATATACAAATTTTGTATAATGGGCCAAGTTTTGCGTTACCGGTATCGAAGAGCTGTATCCTCGTCCACGAATGAGTAATACTGCACCATCATGATTCATCGAAGGACCGTGATTCAGGAAAGATGGTGCTCGTTCCCAAGCTTACAGCTCTAAAGGTTAAAAGCATACATCTCTTCAGTCTCACTTCTCGTCTTTCCACCGACAACGATGAACATTCGCACCCTGTTGGTCTCTATATCTACTGCCCTCTGGACGGTTATGGCTGGAAGTATTGTCCACGATAAAGTTCAGCCGTTTGCACAACCAGTGCCAGCCACCGTCTCCGAGACGGTGGCCATCACATTCAAGCCGAGTCTCCGAATCGACAGCGGATGCCACCCGTACCCTGCCGTTAATGCTGCTGGCTAAACCAATGCAGGGCTCAAGGGCACCGGGTCGCCCAGTGGAGGCTGCAAAGGATCACACCTGGGCTCTCAGATCTACGGTCGAGCTGCTTGGCATAAGGGTCTCTGGGCAATCATATACGCATGGTATTTCCCAAAGGATAGACCGTCATGGCTATTCACAGAGGGACAGCGCCACGACTGGGCCAACGTGGTTGTGTGGCTTGACAACCCAGCAGTCGAAAACCCAGCGATGATTGGTGTGTCACCCTCCTCGTACGTTTCAAGTACACGCCTCCACATGCCGAAGGGCTGAACGGCACAAACTGCAGGATCAACTACCTTGAAGATGGCAACAACCACGGGCTTCACACCGTGGACATAACCTGGAAATCTGGTGGTGAATTTCAGGACCTCATCATGTGGGAACAGCTGACAGACTCTGCGCACGTCGCTCTCAACAACACCGATTTCGGCGGGCGTGCCAAAGTACCATTCAACGATGCCGACTTCATATTGAATCTACAGAATGCGTGGCCGTATTAAATGTATACATTCTGACCTTGGTGCGTCGACTATCATTTCTTTTTTATCGTTCCCGTTGCTACCCCGATATTCCACCCTTTTCATAACCTGATAACATGTTTTCTATCCACTTGTATTGTTCATTGCAATAGAGTCCAGTCTTAATCTGAATCCGCAACACTATCCATGCTAATAGGAGATACTTCCCTACTATTCAGCAGAGTTAAGGTTGTCTTGGACGCAGTCGTCGGCTTCGCCACGACAGGGCATGATTTATTACCGTTAGTCAACTTCGGAGCAGAAAAACTCCTCAGCGGACCGTCTAAATACTCCATCGTCATCGTAATATCCCCTCCATACGCGATGAAACCGTCCGCTCCAAACGCACACACTTTGAAATGTTCACCCCCGAATGACGTCTCGTACAAGTCTCTGGTTGAGCAGTCCATTTCACTGTCGTCGCCGATAGAATCATTCGTAATGGCCGTGAGGTTGTTGAGTGCATCAATGATGGAGTCGAACGGTGTGATTGATGGCAGACAATTCACGGTTTGTGTGGCGATGGGCGTGGTGTCATCTCCTGTGTTCTCCACGACATACGCGGAGCCGTCAACGACCATGTACGTGAACTGTGAATCACCTTGGATAAATGTGGCGAATCCATCGTAACGTATTCTTGTTCCGTCCGTGAACAGAGTCGGCTTGGCGAATACATCGAAGACAGACTGTCCATGAATCTGCATGTTCCGTCCGGTGAGCATTATCTGGAGACGTACAGACGAAGCATCGCTCAAAGACTGGTGTGATGTAGTCGCCAACGACTTGGTAGGTTTACTATCCGTGGTGGCAGTCATTGCCAATGCGATGAAGAGCACCAATATGGTGGCTAGTGGGAATCGCTCCGACACATCAATGGGGAGCATCTTGGTTAGGTTGCAGCCTGAATGCGGTAGCTGACCAAAGCGGTTATGCTTGTTCACTTGTGTCGGCGTCGTGCTATATTCAGAGCACATTTAGCACTTGAATGTATGGGCAAACTGTTTCTCATAGAATCATAATCAATTGCAGTGTACATGTACCGATGATGTTTATGGAGGAGCGCGTAAACTGTAGAGGACCTGCGCATTAGCCAAATCGAGAGATAAATGATTGCAAAGAAACCGGCCATCATGTTGGCGAGTATGCACAGCATAATACAGCAATACGCCTACACAGGTCGTCTAATCCGTTTTATTCTTTTTGAATAATTATCGGCGTTTATAGGAGTTAGAGGGACGTGGAATTGTGCAAGTACGTATTATTTACATTTAATGAACGCTGTGCGTGCAACACAAGCAAACAAATAAAACAAAATGGTGGGACTGGTAACGTGAGCGTGACTGAGCAGCACTCAGAGCACACGAGTTGTATATCGTGTGGCATGACCAAAACCACGCCGAGTTGCGAGAGCTGAAGAAGCTCCCAGCAAACAGAAGAAGATGCCATATTGGATTTGAGCTGCACTTCGTGAGAAAATATACGAAGTACGAAGTTACGGAGTACGAGGTAGTAAAAGGAGCAAATAGTTAGGATGTACCCAATTATTTGGGACCGGTGATTCTATTGTATCGTGTTTCCCATGGATGCCGTCATTCTAAATGACAGCAACCAAGACAAGCACCAACATTTCCGCTGAGAGTGCAAGTACGTTACTGCTTTACCTTATCTAAATACGACATCAAAGTAAGAAGTTCGAGTGCAGTGAAAATGAGATTTAAGAGCATTCTGAAGGCAGGAAGCGTCAAAGCACAGGCCAGTACAATCGCGAAAGTGGAGCATTCCGCTTACTTGTGGTCGACTGAGTAACATTCTGTACGTCCTGCTGGTCAAGATTCCTGATGCGAAGGTGGGCTTCGGCAAACCGACTCTGCTTCCACAAATTGATCATAACCGTATATAAAACTTTATGCCTACCGCACCTACCACTCGATAGTTTCGGGCAGCTTCGGCTGGACCCTTTGAACCCTTAGCGACTGTAGGTAACTTGCTGAAAGTCCACAAAAATTTTAAGGTACAGTAAACAACACAAGTTCATAAACAAACAATCACATAAAACAAAAAATATTGTACTGGCTCTGCGCTGACATGCTAACCGTTCCCAGCGTCGTTCGATCGTGAGTTCACACACCAACTAAAAACAAAAACATTGTCCTTTTTTTCATCGTTCTGAGCCTCAGAAATTCCAAAAACCCAAGTTTGCAGATAATGGAGGAGTACGATACTCTCTGTACAAGTTTTTTTTTTTTTACTATAGTCACCTCATTCGTGATTTTTCGGGAACTTGGGCAATACGCGCAATGCAGACTTTCACTTCTCCGATCATTTCGACCACTTTTGCGACCTTAATACTTGTGGTAGCTACCGTTAGGGCATCCGTGAACGCGTCGGAAAGCCAAGTTGAGCAAGATTGGATCACTGTCGCGTTGTCGGAAGCACCCTCAATGCTACTACACGTTACGCTGAAAGGCAAGAACAGGAAGATCCACGGGCAATCCGTCTTTGACGTCTACGCAAACCCAGTCGTGTCAGCCGACAACACCAACATTCACTATGACGCCTTCAGCAGTTTTATCCAAGGCGACACCAGATTCACCTATATGTTCGTGAACGGAACATCCTACATGGTAGAGAGTCTTGCTAGTGACAATATTTCGTCGAATTGGCAAGCCTTGCACTGTCTACCGTCGATCATTCCGTTCGAGCACATATTCCCAGCCCTCAACAATGCTACTATCGTTCCAAGCGCATCAGTTAGAGGAGAGCCCGTCGACTGCCCAGGAGGGTCATTGTTTCAGACGTCATTTAGCGGGGTGGATTTTGTGCTTTGTGTATCTAGTGGATCTGGATTCACTGCGTACGGACTTGATGTCACGATGACAGCGAAATATCTGCCCGGTCCAACACGTTATACATTACCGGCGTTGGTTGAAGAGGCTGCGCCGTGTCCTGTAGTGACGACCCCAGAACCAGTGGCGCCAACTGCTATCGCGATACTTACCGGTCGATCTCTTCCACCTTCTTCATCAAGAAACCTGAGGACAGCTGCACACGCAGCGATTGAAGCGGACACGTGTGAGTGCATGTCTACACCTCGTCCATGTATTTTCCTACACGGTTTAGGCAACCCGAACGAAGAAGCAGAATTGCAAGACACACCCAAGTTGACGAAAGAAAAGTTCGGTGACATTGGTGATCATGCTCCGTGTTGCACGACTGTCAAATACGCTGTCTTGAACACTGTTGATATCGGATGGACGAATGAAACACTGCAACAAAAGTTCTGCGACTTCTCGCTGTCCATGAGCGAAACGAGTGACTTGACATCGCGCACAACTTCGGACACTATCGTTGTCACGCACTCGATGGGTGGACTAGTGCTAGCTAGTGCGCTAGCCACTGGGAAGTGTAAATTAGCAGCTAGTACGTCGTGGGTGAGCATGAGTGCTCCGACGATGGGGAGTATGGCTGGGGACTTCCTTCAAGACATATGCGACGGAGAGTTGACCGACGTTGTTTCAAAGGTGATGGATCTGGTCGGTCAATGTCCCGTTTCAATCGCTAGAAAGTCGACTTATTACCAGAACGGGAAGTACAGCACCCCAGAACTCAACGCGGCGTACACTGCAGCACAAGAAGCCTACCGAAGCAACGTCCACGCAGCACTCTGCAGTAAAAGCTATAACGGCGTCTTATCAAAGTATTATCCTTCATGCTTGGTCGGAGGCACGGTGATTCCTAACAAGTCGAAAGAGAACGATGCTCTGGTGGAGTTTCAGAGCTGTTTGGGCGGTCTTGACCCAGACATGTTCGGTGACAGCTACCTTGACCGCTTTTACTCGGCCAAACTGAACCACGCTGACACGGCGTTCCTGACTCATGACGGTCTTTTCCGGGACTCCCAGAAACCTTTCAAATGATTCGAGTGTTTGTTGTAGGTTTAGATCACGTGAACACCACAACTACTCCAGTTCTGCTCCAGTTGATTTTAGTTAAATTGCTTTTGCATAACTTGCTGAACGTGTCACGAGTTCCAAAGTTGTTGAACTTTTACGTAACACTTTGTATTCAGTGTGCTTGTTATTCAATTCATACAAAATCGAGGTGTCCCTGTTCCATTCACCCAAAGCGGCCCTATCTTGGGCTTTGGATTTAGTTCTGTACTGTGGCCACCACTTTAACGAAAGTAAACTTTCTTCTTTTTCTAAATTCATTTTTTTTAAAGACGGCTTATTATTTTCTGAAGGTATCTAAGCCCTGCTGAGCGTTACAAAGCCTACCCGACATGTCTGTTGTGAAGCTCTAGATGATAGAGGCTGAAATTGTCGTCCTCATGCCTTTACCTAGGCATTTCAGCCTCTTATAAAATTGGACAATCGTAGAAAGTGCTTTTCTGACTGAAGAGCCAGCTGAAGCACGAAATCTGTTTTACATCACTTGACTTAGTGTACAAGCTGGTATCGTCGATTAATATACCGCCTCAAATCATTTTGCTCAAGGTTGGTTGCTCTTAATCGATTTGAAAATTGTCCATCGCACCTGCCTCGCATTTTTGGGTGGGAAAGACTTTCCCGGAAAATAGTGTTGTTTGTCCTGTGAATATAACAGCGGGCATTGTAGTGTATGCCGCAAACCATGGTGCTACAGCGGGCAATCACACGTCGGTGCTCAGTTAAGTTCGAGAAAGGGTTCACAGAGGCCTCTAGAGTCACGCATATATGCGTTACAACGGGCATCGTAATCATAGCGTAATAGACACCTTCCATGCATAATTCCCAATGAAGATGCAGACACATCCAAACCACTTTGTATGTTGCCGTGCCCCACACAGCCAGCTACGGTGCCAGTGATGTGGCTTCTTTCGCTTTCTCTAGTTATATTCTTTTCACCTCTAGTGTCAACTCACCAGGTTAACTCCGCTGGGCTGCATGATAACCTCCGAATATCGTTGTTCAACGCGTCAGCACTGAGGCTTCACGTTACACTCAAGCGAGAAAGTGCCAAATTTACGGACAATCCGATTTTTACATATTTGCAAACCCTATTGTGGCGAAGAATGGAAGTTCCGTATTGTACGACAGTCAGGCGGCGTTTTCGAATGGTGGCACTGAACATCTCTACTCTGTCGTGAACGGTACAAGCTATATGACCACGGTTTCTAGCGATAACATTGACGTGGTCTGCCTTCCACAAAACACATTACCAATCAAGTTGGTTATTACAGCGCTGAACAATGCGGTCCCTATTCCAAGCGCTTCTGTCGGAGATGAAGCAATCGAGTGTACGAGTGGAAATCTATTCAAGACGTCGTTTATGGACACCGACTTCGCGATATGTGCGTCGGAGAGGAATGGTTTCATCGCTTCCAGCAGTGACTTGACTGTCGAGGTGGAATATGTAGAACATCCTGCTATTGTTCAGAAACCAATGCTGAGTGGAGGGACGTCCTGCAGTGTGACTACAGCCACATCGGTAACACCGACAGCGCTGGCACTGCTCACTGGAACCAGCACACCGAATCGTAACTCAAGGAAGCTGAACAGCACATGGCGATTGAACCAGCTTCGTGTGCGTGCAAGTCGATACCTCGTCCTTGCGTATTCTTTCACGGGAATGGTAACGCCAAGGAACTGGAAGAATTGCAGGATACGCCGGAAAATACTAATGGTAGAATGGGAAATATGAACGAAGACGCTCCATGCTGCACTGAGGTCAAGTATGCAGTACTCAACACTGTTGACTACAGCTGGACCGACGATTCACTTCAGCAAAACTTTTGTGATCGTGCTCTCCGATTGAGTGAAAGTAGCGACAAACAGTCTGGCGTGATCCAGGATACCGTTGTGGTGACACACTCCATGGCTGGGTTGATTATGTCGATGGCGCTAGCGACTGGGAAGTGCAGCTTTGGAAAGGGGGCGACGTGGGTAGCTATCAGCTCCCCCATGAAAGGCACTATGGCCGCGGATTTCTTGGAGAATGCCTTCAATGACGATTACACAGAAATTGTAGGTGGTTTATTTGAGTTTCTAGGCAAATGTCCAGTGCCTCTCTCCCGGCAATCGCTGGTGTATCAGGGCGAAAAGCATTCTAACGGGGAGCTAAACGCTGCGTACGTTGCTGCACAAGAAGCTTATCGCAGCAATGTGAGTGCCGCTATGTGCGGCAATGATTATGACGGTATTTTCTCGAAGTACCAAGCTCGGTTGTTTGTAGCAGGCAAGTTTCTCCCACATAAGTCTTTGGAGAATGATGGCCTCGTTGAGTACCAGAGCTGTGCTATTGGTCTGGATGAATCATCATTTGGTACAAGCTACGAGGATACATTTTACAAGCCACAACTAAACCACGCAGACACGGTGTTTCTGACTGGCGACGGGCTGTTCAAGGACTCTAAGAAGCCCGTTAAATGGTTTGAATGTCTTCTGTAGCGCTGAAAAATGCCTCTGTGACGCTTCCATTTGATTTGAGGCGGACAATAAATTCTTATACGAAGTTCGCCTGCGTGGAATGGCAAATTTCGAAAAGAGTTCAGGCATGTTGGTCGTTTGAATACCACAACGTGTCATCATTTCCCTCATTACCCCTGTTGGTAAAACATTGTCACAACGTCTACTTAGTCTGGTGATCCTACATATCAACCTCCAAACACGCTCCCTAATACGTGATTATTCTTACTCATAAAGAAAAAAAAATGAACAGGATCACTTCAAGCAAAAGTGGAATAGTTGTGGTGTTCACGTGATCTAAACCTACAACAAACACTCGAACCATTTGAAAGGTTTCTGGGAGTCCCGGAAAAGACCGTCATGAGTCAGGAACGCCGTGTCAGCGTGGTTCAGTTTGGCCGAGTAAAAGCGGTCAAGGTAGCTGTCACCGAACATGTCTGGGTCAAGACCGCCCAAACAGCTCTGAAACTCCACCAGAGCATCGTTCTCTTTCGACTTGTGAGGAATCACCGTGCCTCCGACCAAGCATGAAGGATAATACTTTGATAAGACGCCGTTATAGCTTTTACTGCAGAGTGCTGCGTGGACGTTGCTTCGGTAGGCTTCTTGTGCTGCAGTTTACGCCGCGTTGAGTTCTTAGGTGCTGTACTTTAACTTAAGTCCCCTACAATATTACTGGGCATACCAGGAGGTATGGACAGCCCTCAACGGATTAATTCTATGGTACTTAACTTGCTCGATGCCGCCACCCTCAACATTCAGGTGACATCAAAATATAAGCTGGAAATTGAGCAAAAGTATCAAGTTTAAAGCATATTTTGTCGTCGGGTTGCCCGTATCTGAAAGGTAAGGACTATCGGCCTTTGGTCGCGAACTCTTGCAGGATTGCTAGCCACGCATATTCTCTTCGTGAGCGTGTCAGAGTCTAAGCTGCTTGGACTCGCGAGGACTTAACATTTGCTGTACATCTGCCGAGGACATCTTGTGAGATAAAGAAGAAGAGTAGTACTCTGTCGGTTCTAAAGGCTCGTTAATACAATTGGTAATGCCACCGAGTAAAAAAGAGTATAAACTAGCCCAGAAGGCAGCTAAAATGAGATTACCAAATCTCGAAGAGGAAGTACCTGGGCTAACTGGAGTTGTTTGCCTCTTTTAATATTGCTATTTTCCCATAGTATCAGAACATGTTGTTGTCCACTGGTCCGCTAGTATCTTTGCTGGATCCTGCAGAATCAAGGGTTCTACTAACAGATAGTTGAATGTACTTAGTACAACATAAGTACGTACTATTCTGATCTAGTTTTCTAGTAGTTTTCGTTACGTGAATAGAAGTGCAATCCCAGGTATGTCTAAGACGGTCTAGTTTCCGTTCTCCAATACCATCGACGCATGAATTTGCATACTGCGTTAAAAATGCATCAGACGCAACAATGATGCAAATGATTCACGTGTGAATGACAGATTTTCTCTCACTTCTAGCATCACTACCACTGTTTTGATTTTGCGGCGATATGTATTACAACGATTCAATACTTCTTACATGTGTATTTGGGGAAATGCACTAGATCTCGTCCACACAAAATGATGCAACATTATCAAGCTTTTGAAATTGGGAGAAAGATGTGTGCATATGGTATATGTAGTGGCACGAGCCAACATCACCTGCTCCACGGACATGAAGGATGGCGTTCGTGTAGAGAAACTACGAATTAAAGAGTTTGGAGTTGGCGGGATGACAGTGGAAGCTTTTCTTTACGGAAATTATTAACTTAGCTACCTTGAGCCACTACTCTCTGTCTGTAACGTCAATAGCTTGGATGGAAGCGCACGAGAACAGCCTCCGCTGCTCGTGTCTCGTGCATTTGAGGAGTACAAGAACTCAGTGTTAAGCATGTGATAACAATCATATATACGTAGACGTGTGGGAACATTTAAGCATTACAGATTTCTTCTCATTTCAAACTTTGCGCGAAACTGCCAACCTAAGCATCTCTTAAATTATTATTTTACAGAGGGAACACCCCGCTTGTACGATTACGACTACCCTGATGAACGCTGCCCACATCAATAGCAAAGCGTATGGGGTCGGCAAGCGACGGAAACTGGTTTCGTCGTACCGGGATTACCTTAAACGGGGTCGGCGAGAGTTCTGGGACTTCTAGCTACGTGAACAACGTCTTGTCGCCTGATGCATTTATTCACAACGCGGTATGCAAATTCATACGTCGTCGACGGTATCATTTTTTTTCCTTCCGAGTCCTCTGACCGCCCCTGATACAACATCGATATGCAGAACTTTGAGCCCTGGGGGTTCCCCTGGTGATGGAGCAGATGTCACTGGTGATTTGGGAGGGATTTTAGAATCCGACACGCAATTCCTACGTTCCATTATAACTGTTGGACTTTTAGCGGCCGATTACCCTGGCCGATATTCTCACCACCTTTCTTTTCGTCGGTATGTCAACATCAGGGATAAAGAGCTTCATGAAAAATTACATATTGGCATTACCTCTGACTGAATTAAATACCAGAAAATATCGTATTTGATTGATATCCATATCGACTTGGGCAGTGATCCACGTTAGAAGCGATATTATCATCTAGCTGTCCAGTCATTCACCATAGTACTCAATACTCTGTAAGGCAATCAGGAAATGGTGATGTTTCGCAGGAGAAACTGCTCGTACAGTTCTTGAGCGAATCAGTTTGAAAGCGAGAGCAATACGAGGCATCAGCGCTCCTGGAATTACTCTAGCTCAGTGTAGCTGCCATGTATTGTATGCGAAGCTGAGTACATAGGTGGTCTGGTCATGCACTTACGTATGCTTGAAACGTACCAATGGTAATGCAGGCATGTTGATGCCGCACATTGGTGGCTGTGATATGGAACAGATGATAGGGGTCCGTACATGTACAGAGATTTCCAGAAACAGATCGCAGTGACTATCTTGTTGGAAAGCGTTCGATGTTGACGCATGAGCGGAGTTGTGGCATGGTGCGTGATCGGTAAGCACGATAAAGTTGTCACTTCTCAACTTAACCCGAACAACTCAATGTACTCCTGCTACCTCTACCCGCCCAACAGTCTGTCATTGAGCGACAGCGTGATTGGAAACGTGGCAACTCGTGCTCGGACCACTGAGGTTACTTGCAGCGAAGAGCTCAGCACTGTGCAATCACCACCACCCCAACCATTACGCAAGACAAACCACACGACATCGACGGTTGCTAAGAACCCTCAGCCGCGAAAACGCAGTGCAAAGGCACTACATGCCATCGAAAAGACCTTCCCTGTACCATTCACAGACGTTTACGACCCAGTCGATCATCCTCGGAGTGCAACATTCTTGCGACAGCTTCAAAGAAAGCAACAACATCGAGAGCGCTGTCGGCAGAACCAAGCTCGTTACCGTGAAAAGCAGCTGAAGCTGATAACAGACCTGGAGAACGACAACAACCGACTGCGCACCGAGATTAACCTACTCGAGTTACGGCAACACAGCTCATCCACTGGCGTCCCGACAGCACCAACAGTTTGGTCCGTCGCGTCCGAGTACTTCCGACTTTTTCGACGTGGTTTTAAATCGCCGTCACCAGTACTTTACTCCTATGCCCTTGCGTTTTTCGAGAAATCAATGGCTTCAGACATAGTCCATGGAACGTTACTGGGGTCGAGGGAACTGCTAGAGAAATGGCAAGTATTTTCGTCCTACTTCGACGAGATTGACTTCAAAATCAAGCGACTCGAGGAGAACAATGTAGAAAGTGTACTGGTCGCCACTACCACCACCAGCTTCACAATTACGTCGGATTCGTTGCGAATTGTATTTCCCCATCTGAATAACGATGGCCAAGGAGGATCCCAAGGGGGCGAGTGGTCTGTACTTGCAACAAAGGTCGTTGACCAGCGTCTCGTTCTGTGCGGATCAGTAAAGTTTTTCTGGGATGACGCGACCGATCGCGTGGTGCGGATGGAGACACAGTCAGACCTGCTGACACCGATGCTTCACATACTGGGAAGTTTGAAGGACGTCAGTCAAGTGTTTAATGGTGCCTTTGTGAAGCCAGACTGCACGTTACTCCCTAGACCAATGCTCTGATTTTGATTGTTAACAAGTGAATGCATGCAAAAAATTAGTGGTTTCAACTAACCAGGCCCCGAGTTCTTTTCGAATCGTGCCCGTTTCTTCGGGTAACACTCGAGCACCAACAACGGAAAAAACGAAGCGCACGCGTAGCTTCGCAACAAATAGTTTGAGGCTTAAATTGCTGTTTTCGCAACTTTCTTGATTACCTACTTCTACTGGTCCCCGTTACCTGCATCATCCGTTTACAACGACTGTTTTGTCCAGCAGCTATATTATAGGACAGCAGAAGCAAAAGTCATGGTGACCTTGGACAAGCCAAACGATTACGTGGGGTTACCTGTCGCACTGCGTAGGTAATCGTGATCCCTTGCTTCATGGTGTGGCAGTTGTCAGGACTGTCAGTTTGAAATACCAACTTGCGAATAGCTGAAAAAATATGGTTTTAATATTGTTGGTCCCACTTTCCAATGTCGGTTTGATCAGAGAGAATGTTCACAATCGTCCAGGTTATGGCGGAAGAGTTGCCGGGAAAATGACAAAACCTGCCTATTATCAGAGGCAAAGTGACAGAACCTGCCTATCTATCAGGCATCTTAACAGGCCCTAACCGCCCCTAGCGCCTTTGAGACTGTTAAGTGTTAGAATCCCAAAACCGACGCTGTCGCCAGTCGTCCGCACTGCAGGGCGGAATCCGAAGCGACGAATGCGGAGTAGAGGCGAAGATGGCAACGCTAAAGTGTACAAATGTGGAAGGTGCGGTTTTAGTGGACACAACAGACGAAGCTGTGCAGTAGTATTGGAATAGATAAATGCAATCCCTCAGCTTCAAAATGATTTTTTTTTTGTGTTCTTATCACTGCGGATGGAACCTACTCGATCTCAATTACTTCGGGCTGCGTCGGCTTTGCTGGATTTCTGCACCCTGGGCTCTTGCATACACATTCAAACCAAATGTCATTGTAGTCAACCGTAATCTCTTTTCCGACAGGGATATCCCGAAGAGCGATCACGGCAACGCGTGTCTGCCGACGGTACTGCATCTCAAAAAACCCGGCGGCTGCATCACACGAGTGGTCGATGAACCTTGTCAACCCTCCTTGCGTCTTCGCGTCGATGTAGACCTTTCGACCCTTTACATCTGCAGTTGCTAGACCCAAGGCGTAGTCGCTCGTTCGTTCATCATCTTTCTCGAAATCATGAGTTGTGAGAACTCCAGTGTACTCACCCACTATAGCTCCTTCCGGGATAAACGATGTTGCTACTACTCCATACCCTGCGCAGCCTTTCCGAAGCTCAATACCCCCAAAGTCCACCAATCGGTTTCCACACTTGCTTCCTACCCGACAGTTCCGCGAAGTACAATAAATTTCAGTGAAGGCGTTATCACAACTCTCCCGCTCACAGGTGGAAGTGCAACCGCACCAGTCAGTAGCTCCGATATCTCGAAAGCGAATATTGGTAGGGTTACTTAGCTTGCTCGAAGGCGTGACTCCGCGCGGCCACTGGACGACTTCGGTGGAGAAGCATTCAGATTGACGGATTGACGACACTGCTTGCTCTTCGTCACCACTGGTTAAGTCGATAACAACAGGTTTTCCGTGCGCTTGAGCGTCCTGAGAGATGAGGGACGCGCCAACGTTCTCTGGGAGTGCTATACGTGCCTCGTTAGCACAAGTAAGTGCCGCAGCTCCCTCCGAGACCCCGTCGAAATAGGTCTCCAGGCTCGCTGTCTCTCCAACCTCTGCGTCGGCAGCTTCCTCCCCCTCCTCATCTAGCAGCTCAAGCGGCGTCTGCGCTACGCGGCCAATCGGAGCTGCGTCGGCAGCAAGAGGAAAGTTCCCCCTCTTGCAGACCTTCATCGTCGCCGCGTGATAGCAGCGCTTCGAGTCCCGCACTGGCGCACGCCGATCCACCCGAAACTTTTTGCGCGATTTGGATACCGTCCAGTCAACACGTCTCGGTCGACGCTTCTTGGCTTTGGCCGCACGTGCAGCGTAGGAGAGAATTGTGGACTTCCCTCCGCGCCCAACGGTCTTGCCCATGCTACGTTGTCTGGACTTGCGATTGAGAACTGTGGACAGCCTTCTGGCTGGGGATTTGGCACGTCTCACACTGTGTTTCACAGCTGCACTTGACACTAGTAGGCAGCTTTTGACAAAGTGCAGGGCCAGATAGGCAGGTTTTGGAAACGGGGCAGGTTCTGTCACTTTGCCTCTGATAATAGGCAGGTTTTGTCATTTTCCCAAGAGTTGCCTCTGCAAGTTCACCAGCGCACATTTCTTTTTAACGTCTCGAAGCGTTAACATTTTCGCGTTATCCGTTGTGTCAGGGTGGTGTCGTGTGTGTGTGCGGGGTAGAAGAAACTTCAATATCGACAAGGGCACCTTCATCGCCTTCCATTGCAGCGGTGCTTTCGAATCATGAATAGGCCACAAAGCGATAATACCCTAATGGAGGTATGTTAGCTATCATTGTTTGGAGTTGAACAACGTAACAACTCGGGCCGAACAAATCAATCACCAAAATGCAGGCACAGAAAGTGTTCGTACAAAGAAACTTCTGGTCTTCAAAATGTAAGAAGTGGCCTCTTGGGAATCTGTTGTCTACACCAAAGAACTGGTTTTCAAAGATCAAGAATGATTCTCCACGACCACGAACCCTACCGATCGCGCGCTGGCTCTCGAATCCAGCAGATTTGTCCAACCTCGCAGGACCTCAGCTTTTATCCGAAGCCGTCAGACAGAACCCTGCAGATTAGATAGCTAGTCATCTTAGATTTTACTTTGACAACAACAAGCTGACTTGACAAACACTTTCGACACTGCCTCATGATCGACATGGCAACCGCTCGTGTTCACAGTTTGCACATGCCGATATATATCCTGGCGTTTCGAATATGACGTTCTCTGTCTACGGGATGACTATGGTCGTTATCGGTGCGTCAACAACCGTAGCCCTTCTGTCTACAAGTACAACCCATGCCAACGTGGAGGTCTCAACGTTGAAGGTGCGCTATCGATGTATTGGCAAATTGGGACAATGCGCTTGAGCTCCTGGCGAGTGGTTAAGGAAGGCCACAGTGTGTATATATATCCAACGGACATTGCAGTGCTGACAAGGCCACTTTTCATTGGTCGTCGCTATCGATTCTGGGGGCGTACCTTGATAGGCACAATAATAATGTTTTCATTCGTGCTGTCCGCTGCCAGGATGTGGCGTGGCGGATACCCCCAAACTTCGCGCGGATGTTGACTTGGTTATAATCTGTTGTGCCATTTTTCCTGTTAATCTCCGTCCAATTCGTGTGTAGCGCTCGACTGCGTCTGACTTCCATCGTCCAAACAACTTCACCGCAAGATAGTCGAATCCAGCGTTAAACAGCGCCGTTGCTCCACCACTACGTAACGAATGAGACCCAAATCGTTTAGGGTGATACCCAGCCTTAGCTGCCGCCATCTTATTTACTTTAACCACGTCGCGCACCTGCAAGTTGGTTGACGAGTCGATTCTGCACAATTGTGACTCTGGTACGACGCCAAGGGTTTTGCGGTGGCTGACTAAAAACCACGCTGCCAGTACTGGACAGCACCACCTAGACCCAGACCGCTCCAGCAGCTTTGTTGTCACTCCAGTACTTGATGAGGATCAAGCTACCATTGGCTTGGTTATTCCACATCGGCCCTATAACACCCAAATGGCCAACGCCATACACAAATGTTCTCGTACATTGATCGAAAACTTCGAATCTGCTTAATTTATCGAAGCGAGTTCATCTTTGTCGAATTTGAGCTGAATGAATTGGTCCATGGCGGGATTAAGTACAGCTATTCCTTCATTCGATGCGTCCATGAACAATTCCACGTCAGGTGCTGGCATGCTGCTGAACATAGATAGCAGTAATTCAGCAAGACAACCATGTTGCAGTGTCTGTCGGAACCAAATTACGATGTCTTTGGCCCCGTCGGATAAACGTACTCTACCAAAACGAGGGGCACTCGTACATTGGCGTTGAAGTCGTTGATAGAATGGACGCGCAGTCGGCAAGCACAGTGAAATGTGACGAAGCGACCCCAAAACCTGATGAAATTCAGTCTTCGACGCCGTCCCTCGTTCGATCAATTTCATAACACGCTGAAGAGCTTTGGTAATTTTGTATTGATACCGTTCGCCGAAGCGTATTCCACAAAAGACCCAATGCATAGCTCTGAGCTCCAACTCGAGAATTTTGACTCGTTAATCGATTGTGGCCCCAGAACTGCTAGCATGACATGCCTCAAGGTTGCTTCTGAGAGCTGCAATCTTCCGTCGACGTCTGGTTCTACCAATATGTGATCGTCTACTCATTCATAAGGAAAAAAAAGCTCTGTGTTCTCCGACTCCGACACTGTTGCAGGCGAATTTGCGGCCATCAGCCAAAATGGCACGTCCAAATAACGCGTAGCATGGGGGAGACCCTGCCCATCCAAACGGTGCCGCCATATCAATGATGATAATACCCAGTTCTTTAAAGCAAGCAACGATACGAAAAACTTGATTCGCCCGAACACGTAAGAGGCGAAAAGCACCTTTCACATCGCCCTTCAACATGAAAATACGCCCCTCATAACCGTAGTTAGCCAAATTCTCAATTCGACGAGCAATCCGGACGACGGACTCGTAACAAACTCGTGGCACCGAATCCGTTATAAATGACGAATTCACGGAGTCGTACTTAGGGAAAGAGAGGTCATGAATTGTTCGCACTTCCTCGTTTGGGTCGGCGTCCTTCTTTTCGACGGCTCCAAGTGGGCCGTACACAACTTCAGGCCAGTGATCCATTAAATCGATATCAACAACCATGTACTGCCCTGAGTCTTGGCCGTCGCGAATGCTTCAAGATACCGCACGTAAATGCCGTCGGCACGATCCGTGATTGTTTGGCGGTGGTCGTCGTGCCTCTGGTCCGGATCTCCATTCCACGTCAATGCCGTGCTCTGCTATTTTAATTAGAGGGTCCAAGTGAGGGTACCCATATAATACCGTTCGCAGTCGATAAGGATTCAATGCTTTATTCGGTCTGCCATCTCCAATGTCTTCGCCTCGTAAAAAGCGAGTAGTTTCAAGTAAGCTCAGTTTATCTCGACGAATGATTTTGGAAAGCTACTCGCAAGCGCATTTGTCGATCGTGTACGCCGGTGATTCTGCTCGAAGTTCTCGTACAAAACCACGCTTTCGATGACTAGCCGATATTTGGCATTCCTCTCGAAGCAATGTTGGCTCCAATACGGGTTGTATCGTTCTGGCGGACTCTAACGTTAGTGCTTTTAACCCATAACTTGCCTTTTGGGACAACGACTGTGCCCTAATCGCTGCCCCAGACTGATTGTCAAATGAATCGCCGACAAAGTTTCGCACGGTCCTTCTCGTAGTATTTTCTTGGACGGAAATATTCTTCGGACCAGTAATGGTTGATTTTACCTCTGTACAGGGCCTCAACGGACGCCCACCCGGACCTCCCCCGTCTAGCGCACTGCTCGATATCGCCGAAGCAACATTCGGTGCCAACGATCGGGAACAGGCCTTTGCGTCCTTCTTGCTCTTTGTACTCTGTAAATGACCGTAGCACGGAAGACATTCCCTCTTAATGTGTGCGATTCCAGTTGGAATAGTCGAACTCGATATTGGTTGATGCAATGCGGGAAGAGATTGCTGTGTTGAACGACAAACTTGAGAAGCCACAGCCGATCCCTTCGCTGGCCTTCAGAGCCGCTTATGTTCGTTGTTAAGGCCTCCGAAACGCTTGTTTATCTCAGCCTTCACCACATCGTGCAACGTAATAGGTATGAAGTGTCCATGCTCGCTCGGGCAGGCGCCGTCTTTTTCGGTGCAGCCGTACTTCGATAAGTACCGCATACATAACGCAGTCGTTTCGCCTGTGGCCGGGTCCACCTGAACAGGTAGCCGTCTCAGGACATCTGTTGGAATGCGCCCTAATCGTTTCTTCTCCGCCAACGACGGTTGTTGACGTGATGCAGCCGCGGGCCTTTGCTCTTGGCACCGCGCATTTTCAGCCACAGTCTCAGCGCGGAGAGCGTCCACTTGCCGGTGCACTTTCATAAACATCAAGACCTTGAGCAAACGATCGTCGGTTGAGCAGCGCGTGCGTACTTGTCTGAGGTCGTCCCCATTCTCAGCTGCACCACGAAATTCTTCTAGTAGGTCATTAATCCAGTATACTAGTGACGCCACCTCTACTTCGCTCCACTTCACCCGCATGAGTGTCTCTTCAGTGAGCTCCACGATTCTTTCGACGAGCTCAACTTGTTCAGCACAGCAGTACTCTCGAGTATAGGTGAGGAACACTCTTGCAGCATCGACCACCTCATTAACACTGGTCGCCGGTTTAGCTGCACTGGATTCTGCCGATGCGGAGAGATTGTCAAAATTAGATCCACCTTCTGCATGCCATGCCATCCTGTCATCTTGCGATAATAGAGCAAAATGACAAATGGAAAGTCCACTTGACCCGAATTGAAGATCAAACAACCTTGTACAAACACCAGGTAGCGGCTTGAACTTCACGTGCTTGGACCGAATCAAACCTTTGCAAAACGCAGTGGGTTGCTTACCTTTATGTCGCACTGCCGTCGCGCGCTCATGTACACGTTGCTGGTCTTCTCTTGGAACAAATCCGTACTTAGACGTCGGCGCCACTCGTTTCTCTGGTGCACGTTTCTCTTCAGCGTCCAGATCCGTTGAGCGTCTATTACCTTCTCTGGCAATACCACTGTGTTTTCCTGAAGCCTCTCGTACTTGTAGAAAACGATCCAGCAGCTCGGGATCCCCACTCAGCTTCTCGACAATGAGCGCATCCTGGTCTAGCGCAGTTCGCTGGCGCTGGGTTGTCATGGCACCGTGTGCTAAGACCTCAAACTCACTTGGTTGATCCCGTATCGTTTCTTACTTGCTGCATGCTCGTGGGGCCTGAGCCTGGCTTGTTCATCTACTGAAGGGCCGACAGGAAGTTCATCGTCGTCGCCCACAAACGGATCAAAAAGCCCAGCTAGTTGGTCTTCATCGCTATTTTTAGCACTCTTACTGGGTAACTCCTGCCGAAGTTGTTGAACAGGGGGTCGACAGAACGATTCTCCGATAGTAGCTGGTATGGGTTCAACTCCCCCATCAACATAATAGGCAAAATCCAATGCATGCTGTAGTGTAAATTCCGCCTATTCACCAGTTCCAGGGTCAATCCAGAAGCACACTTGCGAGGCTATAGGCCATGCCTCCTCTGCCATCGTACTCTCGAAAACGTCTGGGAGCGAATTGGCGCCGCTATATCCGCTCCGACCAAGAATACGGTTCAAGATCGTGCTTCCAGTGTCCTCAAATTCACTTTCTGTTCACTCGTCCAGGTTAAATCGGACGTGTTGTAATATGAAAGCAATTATCCGAGCCACAAGTGATGCAGAGCCCATTGCGGCGACAAATTCCAATCCACCGGACCTCACGACTACCTGGTCTCCGTCCACTTGTACCACTTGTCCAAAGTGAACCTGCCCCGCTTCCGGAACAGCTACAGTCCGCCTTAGGTATGAGAGCTGTCCCGATTGAGTTACTTCCTTGGTAGAGACAACACGTTCAGCGGCCACATTACGGGGGAGTGTTCCTTCTCCACCTTCTAAACTCTGGAACGTGACCTCGCCTCGATTGAGCTCGGTTACTTGGGCATAAAACGGATGGTCGAAGTTCCCAACGACCAATTCCGGCAATACGTGGAGGAAGGAGCGTGACGTTAAGCGAACCATGTTCGGAGGGCTGATAGCTGAAAGCTTTGGCACGAGGGCTTATGCGTCGGAGAGTAAATCTGAAACTAACGTGCGACTTCTCCTACGATCTCGAGTGTTGGTTTCATCTTGTGCCACCTCCTCTGAAAAGCTATTTTCCTTCTCAACAGGAAATTTTCCATTTTATGATAAAATAATATACCAACCATCACGATCATGTCAGGAAAAGTTTCATCAGCCGTGGACGATTTAGTCGAACTCCGCCTGTTCGTGTGCCATTACCGGAAGTAACACGACTCATGACAAGGTGTCGCACATCTTTGATAGCCGCCTAGGTGGCAGAGATCACACTGTGACTCGTGCAACCTTGACGACTCGCTGGCTTCATCTCGCCCCGACAGCAATCGATACCGGACGATACGCTGGAGCAATGAAAGGACAAGTATTGAATCGACTGTGAGCGTCCACTGTGTTATCGACCACGACTACTACATCGACGGTGCCATTTTAATTACCCCCGTATTCGCAACAGCGTGGAAGCCAGATCCAGCATTTGCTAACCCTGAAGTCGCTGCTCCGACACTACCTAGCAAGACAGGCTGGGCCTCTATGATACCCTTAACTCGATCGAGCCCGATTTCCGCCAACCAGGCAAGCGGCAATCCCTGGTGCTACTCTGGAATCCCATCGTGTGGAGGTCAGTTTAGCTCTAGATTTTGAAAGCTGCGCAGAAATATTTGCCGTCGTATCTGACAGTCCTCATCGTATCCGTTGCTGTCCAAGAATGTGGCACGCGGGTGCACCGAAATGACCGGCGGAGTCACCTGTGCCTCCAGCACGTCAACTCCGCCGCTTGGAATCTTGACACAATGCGTCTGGAAGAAAATTTGGATGGACACCCCGGGCGACAGGGGACCCACAACGAAGTGTTGCGATTGGCTAGGTTGGTGATCCAGAGCAGCCATGGACCAAGACTTGAGAGAAGAACTTGGAATGGAGCTGATGATGAAGGAATAAAGCCAACCCCGGACGGACAACGTAGAAGACACCTTGGAAC